TGCTAAAGATACAGAGATGGTTAAGATGAAGTTCCTGCCAGTGATAAATTCACAATCTCATGGGGCAGATAGAAACACAAACAAATAACTACCACATGGAGTGATAAGTGGTACTTATAGGTGCTACTAGAATTAAGGGGGAGGTAGAAACCTATCCTCCCTTACGGAATATTTCTTGGAGAAGGTATGAGACTTAAGGAAAAAGGAAAAAGAAGATGAGAAAGGACATTCAGAGATAAGTATACAGTTCCCTGTGGCTAGAACATAAAGGGCAAGGTGAAGAGTGTACTTTCATTTATTCATTCAACAAATATATTTTGAGTGTAGATATTTGCCAGATCTGGGCCAAGTACTTTGATGAGCCCTTTTGATGCACCACAACAACTTTATGGGGTGAGTGGTATTCTTCTTCTCACTTCACAAAGGATAAAACTGGGAATCAAAAAAGCTTACGAAATTTTACTCAAGACAGCTCACTCTACCTTTGAACAGCTCTTCCTGAAAGTCCTTTCTTACACTGAGCTAAAAGTTTCTTACATGGAGCTCTAATTCCTACCCACTGACTTTTCTCACAAAATATGCCCCCTTCTCCAATGATGATAATGATGGTGATGATGATTATCATTTTGACAGCCTGAGAAAGATAACATAAAAAAGCAATGGATAACTAAAATACTTACAAAAGGGCTGGAGGAAACTAGCTTAGGTCCCTTTTTGGCCTTCCACCTCCCGCCATGTGAGGATGCTGCCTTAAGGTGCCATCTTGAAAGCAGAGACTGGGCCCTCACCAGATACCAAACCTGCCAGCATTCTCATCTTGGGCTTCCCAGCCTCCATGACTGTGAGCAATATATTTGTGCTGTTTATATATTACCCTGTCTCAGGTTTTTTGCTATAGCAACACTAGTGGACTAAGACAAACTCAAAGGCTTATGTTTAGGTCTTTTTCAACCCTCTCATTTCTTTCAAGTTTTCCTGATTTCAAATAACCTAAATTTGGCACAGTTTCCTTAAACATCCTAAGCAGACTTATTTGCTTAACTATCACTTTGTAAGACTGAGCTGAAGAGTATAGTTTTGAAGAATCCTTTTGAGAACAAGGAACACAACGGAAGGAAATTAAACAAAAAGTAGTTTTAAGTTTTCCACTAAAGTGTCTTGCCTTATATTTGGGGAAAGGTATCCTGCTGGGTGGAATACTATGTAGCCATAACAAGGAATGAGATCATGTCCTTTCCAGGGACATGGATGGAGCTGGAAGCCATTATCTTCAGCAAACTAACGCAGGAACGGAAAACCAAACACTGCGTGTTCTCATTTTTAAGTGGGAGCTGAACAACAAGAACACACAGATACAGGGAGGGAAAAAACACACACTGGGGCCTGTCAGTGGATGGAGTTGGGGGAAAGAAAGCAATAAGAAAAATAGCTAAGGCCAGGTGCAGTGGCTCACGCCTGTAATCTCAGCACTTTGGGAGGCCGAGGCAGGCGGATCACCTGAGGTCAGGAGTTTGAGACCAGCCTGGCCAACATGGTGAAACTCCATCTCTACTAAAAATACAAAAATTAGCCAGGTGAGCTGTAGTCCCAGCTACTTGGGAAGCTGAGGCAAGAATAGCTTGAACCCAGGAGGCGGAGGTTGCAGTGAGCCAAAACTGTGCCATTGCACTCCAGCCTGCACAAAAAGAGCAAAACTCCATCTCAAAAGAAAAAGAAAAATAGCTAATGCATGCTGGATTTAATATCTAGGTGATGGGTTGATAGGTGCAGCAAACCACCATGGCACACATTTACCTAGGTAACAAACCTGCACATCCTGCACATGTACCCCGGAACTTAAAATAAAAATAAAAATTAAAAATTAAAAGAGAGAATAGAATGAGTCTAATGAGTCAGAGATCTTTTTTTGCAAAGTGGGCAGTGCTACCAGCCTAAACTCAGAGTCAACGTACAGGCAAACAGCTCTCCTCATCCCTAAAAACTTTTGACTACATACCAAAGGCCAAATTTGACTCTTATTTAAAAGAATTTGTAGAGTACAGTGGTCGGAGAGGTACTGTCAGGAGCAGCAATGCTGCCAGGGGCCTGGGGCTGACCTGTCCGAGTTCCCATGTGCTGAGCCCACTTGAGCCACAGCCATGTCTGGGGATGAGACGGTTTTTGATCCTACTATGAGCAAGAAGAAAAAGAAAAACCCCTTTATGTTAGATGAGGAAGGGGATACACAAACAGAGAAAAACTAGCCCAAGAAGAGGAACCGGAGCCAGCTGAGGACAAAGATGTAGAAGCCAATGAAGATGAAAGTAGGAAAAAAGACATTTCTGATGTTCTAGATGACCTGAATTTCTTTATTCAGAAGAAAAAGGAGGAAAAAAAAGGATATTTGATATTGATAAAGCTGAAGAAGTTGTAAAGGATCTTAAGATTGAAAGTGATGTTCAAGAACCAGATGAACCAGAGGAGGACCTTGACATTATGCTTGGCAATAAAAAGAAGAATGTCAAGTTCCCAGATGAGGATGGAATACTAAAGACACAGCTCTAGCCGGGAGTGGTGGCTCATGCCTGTAATCCCAGCACTTTGGGAGGCCGAGTCACGCGGCTCACGAGGTCAGGAGATCGAGACTATCCTGGCTAACATGGTTGAAACCCTGTCTCTACTAAACATACAAAAAATTACTTGGGAGTAATTTGGGAGGCTGAGGCAGGAGAATGGTGTGAACCTGGGAGGCAGAGGTTGCAGTGAGCCAAGATCGTGCCACTGCACTCCAGCCTGAGTGACAGAGCAAGACTCTGTCTCAAAAAAAAAAAAAAAAAAAAAAAAAAAAGATAGAGCTCTAGAAGATGAAGACAGCAAAAAGACGATGCTGTCTCATTCAGTAATCAGATAGGCCCTGCAAGGTAGGCTCAGAAAGAGACTGCACATATGAGGAGCTGCTGGATCATGTGTTCAACATCATAAGGGGAAAGAATCCAGATACAGTTGCTTGAAAGAAAAGGAAATTCACCATGAAACCTCCACAGGTCATCCAAGTAGGAACGAAGAAAACTCCTTTCGTCAACTTTATGGATATCTGTAAATTATTACATAATCAGCCCAAACATTTCCTTGCATTTTTTTTTTATTATTTTGTTTTGGTTTTATGTTTCTTGGTTTTTTTTGTTTTTGTTTTTGTTTTTTGAGACAATATCTGGCTCTATTGCCCAGGCTAGAGTGTAGTGGTGCAATCTCAGCTCACTATAACCTCCACCTCCTGGGCTCAAGCCATCCTCCCACCTCAGCCTCCTGAGTAGCTGAGACTGCAGGCACATGCCACCGTGCCAACTAATTTTTACATATTTTCTAGAGATGGGGTTTCACCATGTTGCCCAGACTGGTCTTGAACTCCTGGGCTCAAGTAAGCCATTTGCCTTGGCCTCCCAAAGTGCTGGGATTACAGGAGTGAGTCACTGCACCCAGCCTCCTTGCATTTTTGTTGGCTGAATTGGGTACAAGTGGTTCTATAGATGGTAATAACCAACTTGTAATCAAAGGGAGATTCCAACAGAAACAGAAAATGTCTTGAGGAGATACATCAAGGAATATGTCATTTAAGTTATGGGGCTCCACCCTGATGAACAGAGTAGTGCCTCATAAAAGGGCTGGAGGAAACTAGCCCTTGATACATCAAGGAATTGTCAAGGTGATGTCACACATGCTGATCACCAGACACAATCCCGCAGAAGGGTACCCGACTCTGTTTCTTATAGTGCGAAAGTTGTCCTTCTTAATGTTCTGTTGCCAGTATCAACACCAGGCTGTCACGGGCAAATAAGCACAGCTGCATGCCAAAGCTAACCAATTTGCTAATCACTGATTTTGCAAAGTGTGTTGTAGAGATTTGGCTGGATAAGTATGCCATCAGAGTGGACCTACCATTGTATTAAAAACAAGATTAAAAAGCTGCCAAGTTCTTTGGTGAGTGGTTGGTTGGTCTGAAATCCTTGCAAGATGCCGATGCTCAAGCTGGTGATATACTCATTTCCTACTTTAACAACTGTCAGAGAAATGTGATATGGGGTAAGGAGGTACCTTTTAAAAATCATTCATAGACTTCTGTAAAATGCAAGATAAAGTTTTAACAGATTTTTTTTCAAAGAGTAAAAATTAAAACAAATGAAAGAACTTGTAAAAGAATGACATTTACAATTTTAAAAATAGCTCTGGTTAACAGGTATGTAGTGGTATCTCCTATTTCTATATAGACTTGGGGAAATTCTTGAATAACTCGTTGCTATTTTAATAGCTGACAACCTAATGTTCAACTCAAAACATGGAAATTTTGAAGGCCCAGTCAGATACACATAGAGTCTGCTCAATTAACTCTAATGTGAACCAGTGGCAACTATGTGACTTCTTAAGGAGCAGTGTAATGTAGAAAAACAAACATGGGATTTGTAGTTAGGCCATAATAGAAAGCTGGCTTTATCACTTAGTAACTAAAACAAAGCTGGATGAGCTTTGGCAAGTGATTGAACACAGCAACTTTCAGTTTCCTTCACAGTGAAAAAGGGCCTAGAACTACTTCACAGGGTTGTTGTGAGGATTTAACCAGGTAATTTATTTAAAGTGCCTCATTTAGTACTTGGAACAGAATGAAGTGGGCACTTCAAAAGTGTTGAATACTGAAATTTTTTATTATCATCAACAACAACATAACAATAATAAGACAAATTGAGAACAGCGGATGATGCTTTATTTTGTGCTGGAGAGTTTTTTTTTAATATTTTAAAAATTTTGTTGCTGTTGATTTTTAAGACTTCAATAAAGCACAATGGTAATAGAGCAAAAAATTCTATCTCTTCTCAGCATCCTATCTTTCAAGGCATAGGAAAACATGAGGGGTACCACTGTTGTAATCTATATTGTTCTATTGTCCAGGGTTTTCCTGGTTCTATTTTTTCAGATATTCTACAAATGTTCCACCAACTGAAGTTTATCTTTGGACAGTAAAAACTCACCTGAAAACAATGTTTGTGTGTGAACTGATGTTTTTGCCTCCATACATAGTAGTGATCCAGGAGGGCCTTGGTCTCACACCCCACTGTTCAAAACACTCATCAGAAAGTTCCTTTAAGTTCCATGAGTGAGGTTCAAACATGTCATCGACACCATTAGTACAAAACGGCATGACTACTTCTGTGCAGGCCTAAAAAGCAAACCAAGAGAGAATCCTTAGAAAAATGAGTCAAAAAGAGGTTAAATAAATAATACAAAGTCATAATGCTGGTAAGTAGTAAAGGCAGGGTCTGAACTCAGGCAAGGCTACTTCAAAGCCCCGTTCTTTACTTCTGTGCCATATAATCTCTCATTATTCTTAAAAAGACTTAGTCAAGAAGTCACGGAAGTCAGGATTATATCCCTTCACTGCAAACTGCTTGATTTCACATTTATTATCATATTTAACCCTCAAAACAACTCTGGAAGGAAAGTAGTATTATTATTACTGTCTTATTGTGCAGATGAAGGACAAATTAGACTCCCTTTCTCTTATATGTCTATAAAATGCTTGCTTTGTAGGACTTATCAAGATCTATTGAAATACTAATTACTTACTTTTTCACTACACTATATTTGATCATGTACTATTTATCTTTGTATCTTTGAAACCTAGAGGAGTGCCTGATGCATGGTAAGAACTCAATATATATTTGGTGATTATTAAATGAACAAATGAATGAACAAGAAAACTTGTCCATAGTATCACAGCATACAGTAACAGAAGCCAAAACTGGATCCAGGTTAGGTGACAAAATCTTGTGTACCCTGATTTTTTCTTTACAGCACAGCTGTATCAGTGAAAAGTAAGTTCCATTTGGGGAAATTATTCATATTTACCTGATAGCTCCAACCCAGTGTTCCCAGACTGCTAGTTGCTGTCTCTGAAATATTCAGGCATTTCACCTGGCCCGAATAATTGTAATATACATTCAGAGCTTGGAAAATATTCTGCAGCAGTAGTGAATCAGATACATTGGGATTTTTCAAATACTGGCACACTACCTGTCATTTTAGAAAGATAAATGGGGAAAGAGTCAGAATATGAATATAAAATTACAGTTTAATAACACAAAGAAGAAATATGATTTTGATCTGATCATAAAATATTCTTAAGCTACTAACTGCATTGTTTAACAATTTCTCTCTTGAGTTTAATCCCCTCCATAAATGAATAAATCTCTTCAATTACTCCCTAGGCTATAAAAATAAACCAAAGTCATTTGCATCTACCATCTTAGCTGCCTTTGCTCCAGCCTAGGAAAACCATTCCCCACCACACAGGCTCCTTCTTTCCCTTTGCCCTTGCTCGCCCTAAAACACTGTTTTCCAACTCCTCTCCCACTCCACTAATGCCTTCAAACACCAATTCATCTTTTACAACACTCAGCTCAAATATCTCCTCTTTTCAAGGCCATCCTTGCCTATGTTTCCGAGTTGGGAAGAACTAAACCTCTCCCTTCTTGGTGCCTCCATTATACCCTGTACCTATCTTTATTAGAGCCTCTGTAATGCTCTACTTCACTCACTTGATTCCAGAATGTCTCCCTCAATACTTAGCAAGGTATCTGGTAAGTAAATGTTTGCTGAATGAATTACTATACTTTTATAAAAATGCAAAATTTATAAAATCTCATATGGAAAAACTATACCAAGGTCCAGCATCCATGGTGTGATAAAAAGCATATGCTGCAACTCCCAAGCTCCCAAATATTCCTATCACTATCCTACAAAACATGCCTGGAATCCTAGCTATAAAAATCAGACAATATTCAGGGTTAGGAGTAAAGGTGAGGACTGACTAAACAGAGCCAGTGCAAACTTTCTCGGGCACATAAATATTCTATACCTTAATAGGGTTACATGAAAAATGATATAATTTGTGCATTTCATGGTATCTAGATTTTACCCCTCCACCACCGAAAGAACCATACACAAATATTGAACTCTCATTAATGATAATAAAGCTGAAGTATTTAAGAGGAAGATGTCTGCAATTTACTTTAAAATTTATTTTAAAATAAGATAAAAGATACATGAAGTGATGGATAGGTGAAAATATATGTGACAAATCAAATATAATAAAATATTATTTATTGAATTTAGATGTTAGGTTTATGAGTGTTCACTATCCAATTATTTTAAATTTCCATATGTTTAAAATTTTTCATAATAAAATGTTGGAGAAAAATAACAGGCAATGGAATCATAGCTGAATAATACTAACAACAACAACAGCTAGTAATTATTAAGCCCTGGGTTTCCAACCAATACCCCATGTAATCCTATCAGGTAGATGATTGTCCATTATTTTACATGAAAGAAAACCCTGATTCTTAGGTTAAGTCATCTTCAAGGTCACTCAGTTAGTAAATAATAGGGCCTAGATTTGTCCCCAGCTGTCTCTGGTTATGAAATATTCATCTTATCCATTATGTCACACAGCTTAGGAAGTGTCCACCTGAAAAACCACAAATAGCCCCAGTGGCAAGGAAAACCCGGTAAGCTTGAATCTCTATTGACTCTGACATGAATTCAGTAACCTGGTCCTTTCCCATTTCATATGGAAAAGATTATATATATAATAGATTAGTCCTGACAAAAAAGAGACTAGTCCAGAGAAGAAGCTAGGAAAGGAGTCCAGTTACCCCACCTCAGGGAGAGAGATTCTGGGCAGCAGGCGTAACAAGGCCTGGGCTGGGGGCATGCTCCCAGTCAGGAAAGGAGGGTATTGAGAAAGGATGCAACCAAACCCAGCCCTTCATCACAGTTCTGCCTGGCACCAGCTGCCAGTGGAAAAAAAAAAAGGAAAATTGTAAACGAGAAAATGAATTTTCAGGAAAATTCAATGCCTCTCCCCAGGTATATTCTGCACAACAATATTTCCATGGAATGTTAATTGGTACTTTGTGGAAAAATGTTTCCTAGTCAAATAGTTTTGAGAAACTGTATATTAGCAAATGTGAACAGTTTTCCTGACTGGTTGTTATTATTATATAATTTCAGAGGATTTCTCAGAACCTTTAACATGCTCAAATGTAATATGACTTTCCAAAGGAAGACGGAGTGTGCATCATTGCCAAAAGTTTTTAGAACTGTTGAATGTGAGAAAAGTCAGAAATTAAGATGTTCAAATAACTGCATATACCTTTACAAAGTAACTGTGAGGTCATAAGAATAAGGAATACCAGGGTTTAGGATGTACATGAAGAGACAGAATTGAGCTAAACTGAGAGCTTCACAAACCTATGAAGACTAAAGCAATAAGGAAATGCAAACTGACGAAAAATTAAAAGTCAAAACAGTGTTTATTATTTTGACAACTCTTGATTTTTCATGGTAAGTCAAAAAATACCTAACATTTGCATGGCACTTTTCTCAGAAAACATTCCTAGGAAATATGCCAATAAGATATAACTCAAGACAATATGGAAATCAAGAAACAATCATAAGATATATTAAACCATCTACTGCCAAAAGTTGATCAGCATTCTTTCCTGAACCTGGACACCAACAACCGATTCAGCTCTTTCAAAATGCAGCACAGAAGTACAAAGTAGACACACGGAATGCAGAGAAGCACCTTATGTACAAGCACAGCATGGTAGATAGGGCAGGGCGACAATGCAAGCTGGGCAGGGGGAGAGGAGGTAGTGATGTGGAGCAACAAGTGGCCCAAAACTCTGGAAAAGAACAGTAGCAAGTGAGTGTGACTCACATGCTGGCATCAGAGCTCCTCTTAGAGCTTAGAACACTGGGCCTCTGTCAGGCAAAGAAAAGGAGTCCCTATGAATAGCCATTTCCACAAATAGCAGTTACTGTCACTTCTTAAAAGACACAAGCATGGCTGGAGACCGGCACTGGCTGACAATACTTGGGTTTCAGCAGCCCCAGTTACACAGAGAGAACACCATGGTCAGAGACTTGGCCTCTGTATGATGGGATTCCAAGTCCAGATTAAGGGCACTCCCCAGGCACTGTGTTCTGTGAGGTCAGATCACCCTTGGAGTACTGGATCCAGCTTTGTATACAAGTTATGAAGGGCACCGATCAACATTAGAAAATCTAGAAGACAGCAATCGGGATGGGGAGCTGAAAAACAGCTGAAGCAACCCTAAAACTGGGTCATTCCCAACCTTTCATCAATACAAATAAGGCTACAATAAATATCCTTGGGGCTAAATCTTTACATATATTCTTAATTGTTTTCTTGAGATAAATTCTTAAATTACTGGCTCAAAAGACATCAATATTTTTAAGGCCCTTGGTACATCATGTCAAACTGTCTTATAGAAAGGAAGTGCTGATTTTTAATTCTACTAGTATGCTAGATAGAAAGCCTGAAAAACGTCACTTAAAATTTGTTTGCAAAATATTTGCGAATTTACTATGGAAATTTTATTTTAGGTAACTCTAAAGTTCCTTTCGAACTCAAAGATTTTGTGAGTCCAAGCATCATCCTCTAGCATTAAAAAACAGAATCTCTAATATCTCTTTGCACTTCCTTAACAATTTTGGTAGCACAGTGAATGAAGTTTCAAAAAAATACTGAAGTCATATTAGCAAGACCTTGGCACTATTCGTATGCTTATTTAAAGACTATAGTAACTCAAGGCCAGGCACAGTGGTTCATGCCTGTAATCCCACCACTTTGGGAGGCCCAGGCAGTAGGATCGCTTGAGGCCAGGAGTGCAAGACCAGCCTGGGCAATATATCAAGACCTCATCTTTATAAAACATCAAAAAATTAGCCAGGCATGATGGCACATGCCTGTAGTCCCAGCTACTCAGGAAGCTGAGGTGGGAGAATTGCTTCAGTCAGTAGTTCTAGGCTCCAGTGCTATGATCACACCACTGCACTCTAGCTTGGGTGACAGAGCAAGACTCCATCTCTTAAAAAAAAAAAAAAAGACGAGTACTTTAAAAGGAGATATTCACATACTTTTATCAAAGAACTGTAGGATGCACAAAATACATAAATATTAAATTGAACCATATGAAATTCTCACATGTATAAATCAAAAACAGTCAAATATCAACAATTTTGTCTCAACCTCATATAATACTTTAGCTTAACCCTGACAATTTGCAGATATTACCCATGTGATAAAAGCAAGCACTTGGCCTGTTGATTGTTTACATAGAGGCTGTGATATAATCAGACAACAAGGAAAGAGTCTTGGCCAACCATCTCTGTCCAAAATACTCAACACCCAGGTACCCCTGAACTATACTTTCTTTTATTTTGTGAGCCCTAGCAAACGGCTTCTTCTAAACAATTTCTACATAAGGCATGTCATTCCTACACATACTGTAAATGCACTGAAACGTGAACAGCTGGGACTGAGGTTGCTCATACAACTCATATATTCTTTGAGGGCAGGTTCTTTCCTCACAGTAACCCAGAGAGCACCATATAATGATCATTCCCATTTCACAGAAGAAAAAACAAGCTCAGAGGTCTGGCTACAGAAATACAATTTTAAAACTATGAATGTAGAAAGCATATGTTTGGGTTTTGATGCTCACGTGTGAAATGGACCGCCCTCAAACCTGGTTATGCTGTCGGCACATTACCTATCTGATGTGGGGGAAAAAAAAAAGTACTATGAATATAGGTCTCAATCAAGATGTTGACCACAGAGTCCTGGTATAATCATCTGGTTTCCCAATATTACATAATAAAAATAGCTATTGTTATTACTTATAACTAGCATCAATTTAGTGCTTTTACTTTACACCAGATGCTATGAAATACTTATAACAACCCTAATAAGCATTACAATTGTTATTATACACATTTTGTAAATGAGGAAACTACAGCACAGAGAGGTTAAGAAACTTGCCCAAAACCACACAGCAAGGAAGTGGCAGAACTGGGATTCAAATACAGTAATCCCAGTTACTGAGGAGGCTTAAGTAGGAGGATCCCTTGAGCCCAGGAGTTCGAGGCTGCAGTGAGCTATAACCTTGCCATTGCACTCCAGCCTTGGTGACAGAATGAGACCTTCTCTCTTAAAAAAATAAATAAATAAAAGAAAGAAAGAGTCCAAGTGCGGTGGCTCATGCCTGTAATCCCAGCACTTTGGGAGGCCGAGGCGGGTGGATGACCTGAGATCAGGAGTTCGAAACCAGCCTGGCCAACAGAGTGAAACACTGTATCTACTAAAAATACAAAAATTGGGCACAGCGGTGGGCGCCTGTGATCCCAGCTACTTGGGAGGCTAAGGCAGGAGAATCACTTGAACCTGGGAGGCAAAGGTTGCAGTGAGCCAAGATCGTGCCATTGCACTCCAGCCTGGGAGACAGAGCGAGACTCCTTCTCAAAAAATAAAATAATAAAATAGAATAAAATAGAATAAAATAAAAAAAAATAAAATAAAGAAAGAAAGAAAAGAAAAAAACACAAATGCAGACTCTCTGGAGCTTCCAACCACTGTAACTATATTACACATATTCAACTAAAAGCTGAAAGAAAAATAACAACACATACAATGCTTAAATATACCTGCTGTCTCATGCTTAACTTTTTAAAACAATTTTTCTAATTCTTAGATCATCTTTATATTTTTCTAGGTTTATTTGTTTTGGCAAAAACTTAGAATGAATTTTGTGGCAATACGAAATCATAAAACCTTAAAAGTATGTAATAGTAAAAAAAAAAAAAAAAAAAAAACTGTAAAATAGTAGAGTGATATGAGGCATTTCCTGGAATAAAGACGAACATTCAGGAAACAGAAAATTAGAAAGTCTATTTTACTCATTCCAGTTTTAAAGTGTATAGAAATAGTTGAGAAAATAGAACATTCATGCAACCTTAGTACCAAACTAATCATATCTGCAACCAAATATTTCCATTCTGCCCTTTAATCCCACATACACCAGACAAAGTAAAGATAATGATTTGTTTAAAAGTTTTAAGTGTTCCTACCTATGAGAGTACACATTTAAATAAGAGAAGGAAAAGAGGGTCAAAGAAAATTTTTTAACAGAGGAAGGAAAGAAGACAAGTTGGGGGAAAAAAAAAAAAAGACCAATCTCCTCTCAGAGCATGGTCCATCCACATTAGAGAAAGGATTAAGCAGATACATTCAGCTTTTCTAACAGATTTTCTTTCTCTAAGGCTTCAATACCCCTCTCACACTCACTCAGATAATCACATTAGTTTTGTCATTAAAAGCTCCCTTTTCATAGAATGCACCTAAACCGCTTAAACCACCCAGAGAGGTGGCATACATTACCAAACACCAAGACAAACGGAAGAGATTTTTCCATCTTATGTCATTATTTCACTATATCTATCTACATTCACAGAAGCCTACGCTGAAATATTTGAGAAGCTATCAGCTGAAATGTGATTCCAAAATTAACAAATGACAGCATCCTTTAAAATTGCTCTTTAAGCTAAGAAGAGACCTAGTAGTTTTCATGCTGATAGAACAGTCAAATGACAGAGGGGTTTTCTGTTTCTCTTTTCTCTTCTTCCTTGTGTTCTACCAGCCAAGTCCATGATTATTTCTGCATGAATGTTGCAGCTTCTGTTAACAGTAAACAAAAGCAAATGGAGTCTGAGTGTGCAAAGCCCAAAGACAAATTAAAAGGAACGATACTTGAATTGACATGGAAAATGGCATTTAGTCGCTGCCCATGGATCCTTCAGAACTGTACAAGGTCCCAGACAGAATTGGAAATCACCTGCTTTTTTTCATAACCCAACTGTTACATATTATCTCACCATCCTAAGCCTGAGTTACAGACTCAGAAAAGGACGCCTGTTTGTCAGCCCTTTAAAAAGGAGGAAGTGTATCAGAGGGAGGAGGAGTTCTGGTTAAATGGAACTATCCAAGTGAAAGAGCGGTCCCCAACTGGGTAGTGTTCCAGGGATTAGTGGGTTGCGAGAACACAGAGGGGGTCAAAAAAGGAGAAATAGAATGAACAGTGAAAGAAAGTGATCTGAAGCTACAAGTTTGGGAGGGAGACGTAGTGGAAAAATTCTGAAAATCAGATGGGTAACTAACTATAGGATGAAATTGGAAACAGAGGCAATGGAATTTCTCAAGCAAGGGGCAAGAGATAAGATTACTTCTGGTGGGGGTGCAGGCTGGAAACAGAATCATAAATACAAGCAATAAAGAATTCCTTGATCTGTCAAAAGAAAGGATAATGTCAGTAAGAAATAACTGAAGAGAATGACAAGAATTAATCCTGGATAAAAGAAGTAAAGCGTGATTGTGAGGGAAAGACCTAAAGATATCTTACCTTAAAAATAAACTTTTATATTGCATATATATAAAGGATAAAAGGATTGCAGTAAATCAAAAATAGATGACAAAATATTTGAGGTATACTCTGCTGGTTTTGAGTAATTATTTAGAAGAACAAAGGATAAAATATTTATTCACATGTAAGACTGAACAGCAAAATATCCCAGAATGAACATTAAAGAGGTAGGGAGAAAACCAGTTAGACTGCTCACTATTCCAAATTGTGCTACACCAACTAACATTAAACAGCTATATTTCTCCAGCCTTTTTCTAGATAAGCGGTTAGGAAAGTACAACTCCCAGGCCAAATCCAGCCCACTGCCTATTTTTATAAATAAGTTATTATTGGAGACAGCCATCCTCATTTGCTTATTTATTATCTATGGCTGCTTTCATGCTACAGCGGCAGAGTTGAGTAATTGTGACAGAAACCATACGGCTCGCAAAGCCTAAAAATATAGCCCTTTAAATGGAGAAAGTTTGTCAACCTCTGTTCTAAATAATGAGAGAATTCCCCATATGTTTTTATCATCTGACAACTCATTCATTCTTCAAGTGAGAATAAAGATGCAAATGTAATTCTCACCTTGTACACAGATAGATATCGAGTTAAATCTGATAGATGTCTCACTGTGAGCAATGGCCCCCTCAACCCTCAGTCAAGTTTCCTCCTAATCCAGTGCAATGTAGTAGATGAGCACAGGCTCGGAACAGTGAAGACCCAAGTTCAAATCCTACTTCTACCACCTCTTAGTTGAGCTTTAATTTCCTCTCCAAAAATCTTGGATTATACCTCTTTTTCTATACAGTACTTTTATAAGAATTGAGACAGCATACATGAAAGTGCTTTGTAGATAGTAAATAATATGGACAGATAAGGCATTATTAGCACATAGATGTTTATGAAGATGAACTAGTTTAGATTTAGTTTCTCCTTGTCATTTTGATCCAGGTTTTCTTTTTTTCACTTTTCTTTTTTTGAGGCAGGATCCAGCTCTGTCACCCAGGCTGGAGTACAGTGGCATGATCACAGCTCACTGCAGCCCCAAGCAATCATCCTGCCTGAGCCTTCCAAGTAGCTGGAACTACAGGCAGGCACCACTATGCCCTGCTAATTTTTTTGATTTTTAGTAGAGATGAGGTCTCACTATGTTGCCCAGGTGGGTCTCAAAATTCTATCCTCAAGCAATCCTCCCACTTCCACCTCCCAAAGTGCTGGATTTGATTTAGGTTTTCTAACATAAAACATGATCTGCTCTTTTCAACAACTTTGTATTATCAAAATTCAATCTAATTCAATATATATTTATCTCCGGCCTACTATATGCAAGACACTCACTGGTCATTCTACTTTTTAAATTAAGAAAAATAATAGCAAATGAAATTGTTTTAGTTACAAAATTTTAAGCAAGGTATACATGTAATAATTAAAAGGGGTGGTTAAATTAAAAGTGCATTTGAAACCCGGATCTATATCACCAATTCTATTTTCACTTCCAACACTCATTCTAGCTGAAGAGTCAGTTGTATTCTCTAAATTTAACCATCAAGTTGGCCAGCCTTTGTTTTTAAAACTAAGAAGAATGTTCTTTACAAAGAAATGCTTAAAATGAACATATACAATAAAGAATTTTGCCATGAAAAGAACCTTAAAATTTATACTGTAATGTGTCCTTATATTTCCAAAGTGTTTCACATCCAACATTTTATTTGATTCTCAGCACAACCCTGTTTGGTATGTAAGTGCTGTTATTCCATTCCACAGAGGAAGACAGAGGATGAGGAAAGAAAAGCACCTTGCCCAAGATCACACAGTTGGTAAGTGAAGCGGCAGTTCTGGACCAAAACCTCACTTTCAGAGTATAATTTGATGTTCTTTCCACTCTACTGTGATGCACTCACTCTTCACACTGTGGGCAGCACTTACAATGCTTTCGCAGCTGACTAGATCATAGTATTATCATAATGACTGCCATTTATTAAGCATCGACCATGTATTACATAGATGGAAGTTACACACATATCACAAAGATTAAATAAATTGTACACGCAAAGTACACAGCCCAGGATTTGGCACATAGTAATTATTCCATTAACAGCAACTTTTGGTATTATTTCTAATTCATACAACTCTATAATCAATGAATTTTATCTCCGTTTTTCAAATGAGGAAACTGAGGCTCAAAAAAGCTAGGTAACATGTCCAAGCCCACATAATCAGAAAGTAGCAGAACCCAGGATTCCAGCTCAAGTTTGACCAACTCCAGAGCCCCTTTGTCACTGGGACTTTCTCTGATGCAGAAAGTCAGAGTATGCACATTAAAAAAAAAAGAGAAGTATGTTATTAAAAATTATGAGAGGACATTTTCCTATTACCTTAATAGGCCAAGCAGGCAAAGGCTGTAAAAAGTTAGATGCATAAGGATAGTCCACCATTGCCAGATTCACCCAGGTTTCAGAGATCCAGTCTTTCAAATGTTGGATGTCCTGAGAAGTTAATGGGCTGCATAAGTGAAGGGCTCCAGTAAGCCACTGCAAACCACTGCCTGGGAATAGAATCACATTGTTGGAATCTAAAAAGTACTGGTCAACAGATGGCTTTACAGATAACTTATTCTTCACATAGTATTTTAGAAAACTCAATCTTTTATACCCCTTCTCCCAGGATATTTTTAGAGCAACTAGAGAATCCCATGACAGACAAGTTGCCTATCCTCATAGAGTTTACCAGAATTAGTATGCAGAATTATTCTCCCTTTTTAAGATACTACTAAAATGAATAAATAGGAACACCAAAGAACAAGAATATATAAACTACAACTAAGTAAAACAAATGGATGTATCTATCAAACAGCACTGAGCAAAAGACAGCAGACACAAAAAAAGATATGCTATGTAATTCCAATTACTAAAACATTTAAGAACAAGTAAAAATTAACCTATGGTTCTAGAAGTGAGGATGTTTTTGCTGGATAGGTATGGAGGTTGTGACTGAAAAGGCACAAGGAGATTTCTGAGATGCTGGCAATGCCCTTTATTGATTTAAATGCTAATTACACTGTGTCCTTGTTTTGTGAAAATTCATCAAGCTATGTATTTTGATTTGTGTAATTTTCTGTATGTACATTATGCTTTAATAAAATGTTTACTTAAAAAGTGACAACTACTGAATTTAACAAATGAAAGGCTAAATAAACACACAATTCCATTCTCTTAATTAAAGCTTACCAGTACTTGAGAGTCGATTAATGGCATCCCAGGACCTGCGGATGCTCTCTGAACAATGTGGACCACTTTTCCTAAAATCTGTAGTTACAATCTTCATAAATACACCACAAGGTACTAAATCCTCAAACTGCCAGATAGGGGCAGAAGCTGCAAGAGCTCTAAATGACAAGAAAATCAAAGAAGCAAAAAAGAAAAGAAAAGAAAAAAAAAAAAATATATATATATATATGTCATCTAAATCAAGTTTTAAACTTGAAACTTATAATAAAAATAGTGAGAAAAATAACACAGCTGTTAATGAGACAGAAGCCAGAAATCTCAGTGCAGTAGAATGGAACATGTTTTACCCAAAATGAACCTCTACGTTTGCCTTGATAATCATTAAGAAACACTCATGTCCAGTATAAATGCACTTACCCAACTGCCATATGAGGATATTTCATCCTAAACCAGGCTGCAAGCATGCCACCATAGGAGCCTCCTATGGCAATGACAGGTTGATTTTCAGCTCCTGGGATTGTTCTTTTCAAGTGTTTGATTAACTCTGCAAAATCAGCCAGAGCTTGTTCTGATGTCAGAAAATTCAAGTGTCTGGAATCCTAAAGAAAAATAACAAAGAACATGGGTATAAATGTGCACATAATAGCAGCTTAGGAATAGCATGGATCCAGAAGACAGCCAGTGTCAGATAAGCTTTTCTCCAAATAGAATTTCTAGGCAATTGTACCAAAACGCCTAGTCAAAGCAATAGCTGGTGGATTTAAACTCAGGAAAATTATTTTAAGTTTGTGGAAGAATATAATGTACTTCGCATGCAAGTGTAATTTCTATTAAATGCTATTTACCAAAGACTTTGTTTAAGGTTGTAGAAACAATAGAACAAATTGTAAGTAAAATTTAATAGCAAATATGATAGAATATAAACTAAGTTTAATAGATAACTGTTATAACTTTTGTTTTAAATCTTGGCACATTTAAAATGTCTACCACATAGGCAAATATAAACTAAATCTAGTGGACAATTGAGGTAAGAATCACCAGTAAAAATAAAACTCACCCTTCTTTATCGGAAAGATTATGTATGACCTCGGCCATATCAACAACTGAAACAAAGTAGCCTACCTATTTTAAACAACTATAAAATTGGAAAGAAAAAAACTATTTTCAGGTATTGGAAAACAGGCAACACAAGACATTGATCTTTGAGAAAAGGAAAACTCATAATGTTAAGTTTCATAATCGTCCTGCTCTCTACATGAAGACAATTTCCCTATTGCAGAAGGTGAAGCTTAGTGTCCTGCTGAGCTGAGAAGGCTAAGAAGGTCTTTTAAAATATGTCTGCAAATTTTTGACACTCCTTCCTTTAAAAGGTGAAGCTTAATTCCACTCCCTTTGAATTTGGATGGGATTTAATGACTTCCTTCTAATTAATAGAATGGGGCAGAAATAATGATACGTGACTATGAAGGTTAGGTCATTAAAAAAACACTGCAGCTTCCACCTTGCTCTCCTGCACTGCCAACTTTGAGGGAAATTAGTTGCCTTGTAATGAACTCAAGTAGGCCCTTAACTGCAGCCTCTTGTCAACATCCAGTACCAGTTTTATCTCTTATGTGAGTGATCCTCCATATGAGTAGAAAGGCTCTCCAGCCCCAGTCAAGCCTTCAGATGACTGCAGTATCAGCTGACATCCTAACCTCATGAGACCCCCTGAAGCAGAACCACCTAGCTAAACCACTCCTAATTCTTCACCCATGGGAACTACAAAGTAATAGATATTTATTGCTGTTTTAAGCCATAAGGTTTGAGGTACATCTTTACATAGCAATAGATAACTAATACAGCTACATACCTCTATTAGGCTACCCTGTTTGACTTTCATGCTTTGGTCTCACCATTCTGATTCCTTCCGTCATCTGGCATATCACTGAATCACACAGATCCCATCATTCCTATCTCCTATATATGCCTCCTACTCCTTTAGCTTTCCCCCCTCTTCCAAGATATATGCCTTCTTACCTCCTCTCTCCCTGTCTGTCACTATCCTTTACTTCTAGTTTTTATGGCACTCTGTACAGTTGAGTGCATTTTTTTTTCTAATCCTGCATAATATCTGTAATATCCCTCATGCTACTGACATATTCTGTGAGCACACAAAGGGAAAGAAGTATATCAAAAAGAGCCCCTGGCTCCATTTTGCTAACACAGTATCAATCACAGAAACCTGGGAGAAGAAGTTATGTTTCTATCTACAACAAGCTAACTGCTTCCCAAGGTTTCAGGACATGTCAAGTCCCCTAATCAGATATTTATGCAAAATATCAAGCTAAAGAATGAATTTCCCATACAGCCCAACAAATACCAGCAAATTATCCCACTTTCTATTTATAGCACAACACTTTTACTTATTTTTACTCATGCATTTGTTTATAATATGAGATAGTAAAACCTCCTTTTTAAAAATAAAAAACTCCTTTCAAAACAGGCAGCCTAGTAAACGACTGGCCCCAAGTCCTTACAGCTGAGAGTTCCCAAAAGCATTTGTATACACTGGTGGTCTTAGGAAGCACACAAACATTTTTAATGGAACATTTATTGCTTTATTTTAGTGTAATTTGGAAAGAATAACCAGTACATAGAGCCCTTGGTTAAGATAATGCTAAGTTTAAAAAGTGAGTTGGTTAAAGAAAAACATAAGTAAATAATAGTACATGTGGCAAATTAATGTAGCCAAAGTCACAAGGGTAGAAGTACATGAATGACTCCATTGAAGAAAAAGTGTCCTGGTTTATTAGGTAGAGAGTCTGTGACAAAGGCCAAAGCTCCTGTGAGAACAGGAAACGTTCAAAGGGAATCCAAGGGGCCAGTTGACCTTAATGCATCATACAGCTTATTTGTCCTTATTTTATTGATTTTATTTTATTAAAAACATCAGATAAATTTGTTATGCTCATTGTATTTTTTCCAGTGGCAGGCTCAATAATTTAAATGTACAATTTATAAAGCGGAATTGTTTACTGATATTTTTGAAATAGTAAAAAGTTCCTTGTACTGTCTCTGCAGCCACAGAGTAAAGTTTAACTTCCTGAGGCACACCAAGGTAAAAACTGATTAACATTAAGAATTATAATAAAATGGCTAAAAAAAAACGTCAATCTGTTCAAACTGTATCTAAAAAGAAACTACTAAATATAAACTATTGAGCTTTTAGGCATTTCAAATTAAAGTTATCTCACAGTGGGGCATGTAATTTAGAAACTATTCTAAATTGAAAAGAAAAAACTTGTAACTTAAAAGTAAAAAGTATCTTTACCTTGAATGAGTTGTCACCAAAGGGGAGAGACTCTCCATAGTATCGATGTTCAGCAAACACCAACATAGCTTTCAGTTCCTCAGCCACATCCCACATGAACCCCTAAGAAGAGTTTACAAAATCACAGGATAAAATCAGGATGTGAAAGTCACTGAACCATTTGGCAAACCATATGAAATACATGTTAAGCCAGACCAAAAAGAGCACTCTAAAAAGTTGCACAATTTATGTTTGTGCTACATATAAATGACATAATTGCTGTCTTATTGTTGCATATCAATCTCACACTTTATGAGTGAAACAATTAAAAATAATCCCAAGTTGCTCATCCGCTAGTCATCCATGTCTTTTTATCCTGACACTCTAGCCCTAGAATCAACATTATGTCTAAAATGGTCTTCACGTACAAAGAACCAGTACAAATCCTACTGAAATTATTTTTAAATAAGGAGGAGGGACTCTTCCCTAATTCATTCTATGAAGCTAGCATCATTATGATACAAAACCTGGCAGGGACACAATGAAACAAGAAAACTTCAGGCCAATATCCCTGATGAAAATAGATGTAAAAACCCTCAACCAAAAACTAGCAAACAAAAATCCAGCAGCATCAAGAAGTCAATTTACCAGAATCATATAGGCTTTATTCCTGGATGCAAGGTTGGTTCAACATACACAAATCAATAAATGGAATTCACCACATAAACAGAATTAAAAAATAAAAACCATGTGATCATCTCAATAGATGCAGAAAAGGCCTTCGATAAAATTCAACATTCCTTCATGGTAAAAATTCTCAATAAACTAGGTATTGAAGAAACATACCACAACATAAGAAGAGCCATTTATGACAAACCCATACTGAATGGGCGAAAGCTGGAAGCATTCCCCTTGAGAACTAAGACAAGGCAAGGATGCTCTGTCTTAGCACTCCTATTCAACATAGGACTGGAAGTTCTAGCCAGTGCAATCAGGCAAGAGAAAGAAGTAAAAGACACTCAAAGAGGAAAAGAGGACATCAAACTATCTTTTTTCACAGATGAGATGATGCTACACCTAGAAAACCCCCACAGACTCTGCCAAAAGGCTTCTAGAAGTGACAAAACAACTTCAGTAAAGTTTCAGTATCAAATTCAGTGTATAAAAATCAGTAGCATGTCTATACACCAATAACAATCAAGCTAACAGCCAAATCAAAAACACAATCCCATTTACAATAGCCATAAAAAGAATGACATATCCAGGAATACAGCTAACCAAGGAAGTGAAACATCTCTACAATGAGAATTACAAACCACTGCTGAAAGGCATCAGAGACAACACAAACAAATGGAAAGACATTCCATGTTCATACATAGAAGAATCAATATTGTTAAAATGGCCATACTCCCCAAAGTAATTTAAAGATTCAATACTATTGCTATCAAACTACCAACATCATTTTTCACGGAGTTAGGAAAATAAATAAATAAACTCTTGAAATCCATATACTACAACAACAACAACAACAAAAACTTGAATCACCAAAGCAATCCTAAGCAAGAAAAACGAAGCCAGAGTCATCACACTACCAGACTTCAAACTATACTGCAAGGCTACAATAACCAAAACATCAGGTACTAGTACAAAAATAGGCATGCAGACCAATGTAGCAGGATAGAGAATCCAGAAATAAAGCCACACACCTGCAACCACCTGATCTTAAATAAAGTCAACAATAACAAGCAATGGGAAAAGGACTCCCTATTCAATAAAATGGTGCTTGGATAACTGGCAAGCCATATGCAGAAGATTGAAACTGGACCCCTTCCTTTCACCATATACAAAAATCAACTCAAGATGGATAAAAGACTTAAATGTGAAACTGGAAACTATAAAAAGCCCAAAAGCCCTAGAAGAAAACCTAGGAAATACCATTCTGGACATCAGCCTTGACATCAGCCTTGGCAAAGAATTTATGACTAAGTCCCAAAAAGCAACTGCAACAAAAACAAAAACTGACAAGTGGGACCTAATTAAACTAAAGAGCTCCTGCACGGCAAAAGACACTATCAACAGGGTAAACAGAAAACCTACAGAATAAGAGAAAATATTTGCAAACTATGCATCTGACAAAGGCCTAATGTCTAGAATCTATAAGGAACTTAAATTTACAATAAAAGGGCCGGGCGTGGTGTCTCATGCCTGTAATCCCAGCACTTTGGGAGGCTGAGGCAGGCGGATCACGAGGTCAGGAGATCGAGACCATTCTGGCTAACACGGTAAAACCCTGTCTCTACTAAAAATGCAAAAAAAAATTAGCCAGGCGTGGTGGCGGGCGCCTGTAGTCCCAGCTACTCGGAGGCTGAGACAGGAGAATGGCGTGAACCCGGGAAGCGGAGCTTGCAGTGAGCCAAGATCCGGCCACTGCACTCCAGCCTGGGCGACAGAGCGAGACTCCGTCTCAAAAAAAATAATAATAAAATAATAAATTTACAAGAAAAAACAAACAACCCCATTAAAAAGTGGGCAAAAGACATGAACATACACTTTTCAAAAGAAGACATACACAAGGCCAACAAACATGAACAAATGCTCAACATCATTAATCATCAGAGAAATGCAAATCAAAACCACAATGAGATACCATCTCATACCAGTTAGAATGGCTATTATTTAAAAAGAGTCAAAAAATAACAAGATATTGGTGAGGTTGTGGAGAAAAGGGAACGCTTACAAACTGTTAGTAGGATATAAATTAGTTCAGCCACTATGGAAAGCAGTTTGGAGATTTCCCAAAGAACTTGAAATAGAACTATCACTCAGCCCACCAATCCTCACTACCTGAAGAAAAATAGGCCAGGTGTGGTGGCTCATGCATGTAATCCCAGCACTTTGGGAGGCCAAGGCAGGTGGATCACTTGAGTCCAGGAGTTCGAGACCAGCCTGGGCAACATAGTGAAACCCTTTTCTCTACAAAAAATAAAATTAAAAAATAAATAAAAATTTAAAATAAACCATTCTACCAAAAAGACACATGCACTTGCATGTTCATCTTAGCACTGTTTGCAATATCAAAGACACAGAATCAACCTAGATACCCTTCAACAGTGGACTGGATAAAGACAATGTGGTCTATATACACCACAGAATACAACATAGCCATTAAAAAGAACAAAATCATATCCTTTGCGGTAACATGGATGTAGCTGGAAGTCATTATCCTAAGTGACCTAATAGAGCAACAGAAAACCAACACTGCATGTTCTCACTTATAAGCAGGAGCTAAACACTGAATACACATGGCCACAAAGATGGGAACAATAGACACTGCATGACTACTAGAGGGGCTGGGGGCTAACAGTGCAGGGGGTGTGGGTGTGGAGCATGAATTCAACAACTACGTATCAAGTACTACGCTTACTACCTAGGTGATGGGATCATTCATACACCAAATCTCAGCACACACAATTTACCCAAGTTAACAAACCTGCACATGTACCCCCTAAACCTAAAATAAAAGTCAAGAAAAAAAACCCTACAATGGAGAGAAAACAAATAAAATAAAAATAAAAGGTAACTTCAACTTTAAAAAAAAAATGGTCTTCAAATTGTACTGTTTGCCAAATCTTCTAGGAAAGAGCTAAAGATATCGAAAGCAGCTGTCTACTCACAGGCACTGACAACATAAAAGAGAAAACAAAACAAACAAGCATACTGAACTCCCTAGGGGTTTTCAATTAATCTTATTTATTAGAAAATAAATAGTAGCTCACAATGGCTAAAATAACTCAGTGTTTATAATGTGTCAGGCACTGTTCTAAGCATTTTATATGTATTAATTCACTTAAATATTACAGCAATCTATGAAATAGGCACTTTGATTAACCCCATCTTATAGACAAGAACATTGAGGCACAAGAGTTTAAATAATCTTCAACATTCACACAGCTAGGAAGCAGGAGAGCCATGATTCAAACATAGGTGTCTGCCTCCAGAGCACCATCATCAAGAACTGTTAGATTTCCTTGCTAGAATCATCTATATCTGGTCATTAGCCAATCATTTCATTTTTTCACTTACTCAGTTGTGGCCTCAGAATCTTTTCTCAACAAAGCATTCTAGGTAATCAACATCAAAGGATTAGATTTAGATTTAGCACAGATTAAAACTATTTGTCAATCCTAGTGCACACTGTTGCTATTTAGTGAGTTCCTGCTGCCTAACAAAGACTAAGAACCTCAAGTGTTTTTGTTTGTTTTGATCAATAAATGAACAATTAGAAGAGTTATACACATGTAAGAATAGAGAATTTAACCCGATATTTGTGATGGTTTCAATAACCTCCACTTTCTCTCTTAAGAATCTACTCATCCCCCGCCATTTAACTACAAATCCTGCAAACACCCAGTTCAAGCATGCCCACCTCTGCTGGCCCCACCTTGGCAGTGCTGATCACTCCCCCTTCTCAACACCACTGTGCTAGGTATATGTCCCTGGTACTGTGCCGCAAATTTTGCTTACGTGTATGTCACAAACACACCAGACCATGAGTATCTTAAGAGTAAAGATCATCCATTAAAATGTCCAGACCTCTGTGCAGTTGACTTCAGGCTTTGAGAGGAGGCAATTTCATTGAACTAGTTCAAAAAGTAATAAGTGATCCATTTCAGGAGTATTCTTATTTTTCAAAAGAGGTTCATGTAATATATCAACATCTTTTAACATTATGTGCTTGCAAGTCCCTTAATCTTCTTTAAGTCTTTACACAACTCCATGAACTATTATTACTGTATCCATTTAACAGATGAGACAACTGAGGCACAGAACAAGAAGCTTACCCAAAGTCACACAGCAAAGTGGCAAAATCAGCATTCAAGCCATGTCAGTCTGGCTGAAGCCTTCACTCTTGACCACTGTGTGATTGCTGCCTCTCAACAAATTAATGTCCAGAAGTGAATGTGCACTGGAACATTTTGGTATGTAAAGGAAGGTCTCTGGGCCTGGGGATGGGCCAGGATCTGCTCCTCTATGATCTGCCTCTAGTCAATTCTTTGAAACTGTTCCTACACTGAATATCTCTTCCTTTCCACCACTTCTGAGAACAGAGATACCCCAGCAAACCTTAAGTTCTGCCACAGTGTCTGTCAGAGTAGTGCCTAGTGAAGGCAGGAACAGCTACCTACCTATAATAAAAGAGAATGGAAACTGGAAAAATCACTGGAGAGGAGAAGTTACCCTATGACCTTCACATAAAACGAAAGTCACACCAAAAGGAGAAAAGAGACAAGGCAGCCTCTGTTATTTCACAGAATAACAGAACGGGAATCTGATGGAAAGGAGGTCCTGATTTCACTTGCCACTGATCTAAAAGAAATAGGCATCCTAGGATCTCATTTCTCTGGGAATTATTTTATTTCAACTAACTTACTTAGATTCTTAACATTCCTAAGGAAATAATCAGAAATGAGAAATGCCATAACAATGTAATTGGGCTCATATCTTTACTTTAAATTCATATACCAGTTCAACAAACATTTACTGAGACCTCCTGACTACCAAGCATCATGCCAGACATTGGCATTGGGGATAAGCCATAATTCATTCCCCACTCTAAGGTAGTTCACAACTAGTTTTTTGGTAAAAAGTTGACATTTTCTCGTCACAGCACTGACACGTTGAAAAGGGGCATTTCTTCCTTTCACATATCTTTTGAAATTAAGTTCTGTTCATGGATTTCAGCATTATAAAAGGCGATAGAAAATATAGTCAGGGAAGCAAGCTAACAGGCTATATACTATTTTTAACCCTCACAAATAAAAGAAAATGGTAGAACAGGAAAGCTGAACTAAAATGTAGCTACAACTTTACCTTTTCCCATCCTTATTTGTATATTTTTTTCTCATTTGCATTGGCTTTGTTTAGGTTTTATTCACTCATTCATTTAACAGATGTTTATCACCTTCTATATGTCCTAGACACTGACAATATAACGCTAAACACAGAAAAATTCCTGCCCTTGTTTTTACCTTCTAGAGACCATAATCAAAATAAACTGTACACAGTAACATTCTTATCCCTGTTTCCCTTATATCCTTATTCACTCTAGAAATAAGCTGGGATTTTAAAAACAAAACAAAGCAAAACAAAAACAAAAAACTTGCAAAGTTCAATTCTCTGGGATGTTCCGGCAGTCCATGAAAAATAAAATAAAATAAAATAAAATAAAATAAAATAAAATAAAATAA